CAAAATCGCATACACGCCGTTCAGCATGGGCAGTCGTGGTTTTTAACCAACCCTATGGAGCAGAACCAGGACCAAACGCTTTTGTGACCGCCGCCACGGCACATACACAAGGAGAACAGACCATATCACGAGCCGAATTGTGGGCCGTCGCGTGGATTGTCATCATCATGGCTGAGCATTATCCATCTGCTAAGTTTCACATCTATACGGATAGCCAATATGTCTACGACTCCATCTTAGACATTGACTATGGTATACTTACCAAAGCTGATCAAAACAGAGCTTACTTAATCGAATAATACAGGCATGGCAGCCTAACAAATTTCAGATGCATAAAGTGAAATCACACCAACAACTACAAGACACTACTACTAACTATCAAGAACTACTGGACATACAAGGTAATACCTTGGCAGACAAAGCAGCAGTTGCCTGCCGGTTACAAGATTCGTCCGACTTTGATACCTTAATCCAATCAGCCGAAACCTTCTATACCCATGAAAAGCAATCCACACTTGCAATATGGCAGTATTTGATCGATCTCAATAAATTTATAGTGCAATTACGTGAAACAAACAAGAAGATCAAAAACAAAGAGGGTGGCCAGTCACCACCGCTCTACGGTACCTTCGTAGACACTATGTCAACTTGGTCATCAATGTATTGTACTGAAAGTATCCAAGGTCAGGTCCACCCAATGGTACTCAAATCCTGTATTTGGGAACATCGAATCGCACATGCAATTTGGGCCTTTGCACAGTCAATTCGTTGGCCCCCCATAGAACATACACCAGAAGCATGTGACCCAGGTATCACTTGGACAGAGCTAGCCGTAAGCTTTATGCTTACTACAGGCATCCGTCTGCCAATCGGGATTTCACATACCAGATGGAATATTGAAGCACTCGACCCGACAGATCAACGCATCCAGGTCCTACCAAGCCATAAAAGATCACTTAAACTTCAGGCCGAAGCATTTCGTTTGATCTTGCGACACATAGAACATTTTGCCAAGATTTGCTTGATTCCTAAATACAAATTACAGGATGCAAAAAGTCTCGAGCGACTTGGATTCAAGCGACAAATCTGCGGATGTATGCCATATCGACCAATAGTTCTGAAAGCAAAGGAAACCATGCAAGCCATTGTTTCGTACCAATCTGAATCACACCAGAATCCATCATACCATACCGATGCACCGTTCTCATTACACAACACAACACCAGATATCGTTATTGCATCATATTCGGAGATACAATTCCAACAACGTTACAAACTAGAATGGAAGGTTTGGAACGCTAAGAGGAAAAATATATCATTTGATACTATCTGTGATCCATTCGGAACTTAGATGCCTAATTTATAACTTCGGATCTTGCACAACCAAAGAGATTTGAGTCACGTCTTGTCTTTGTTCCGACTTCGAGTGCTTAGTTCAGTCTTAACTGCTAGTCGCATTGGGAGTCCAACTATTTCAATGGTGTGGTGTGGTGACGCTGTACAGCCAGGTTCACCTTCATTTCCCTTTTTGATACCATCGAACTCTCACACCCTTCATACCCGGTGTCACTGTATACCAAGAGATGTTTAGGGTTGCGCGTGGAGCGTGTCCGCAAGTCGTGTTACCAAGGTATCCCGGTTTTGACCCACAGCCAAGTGAATCCTTTGCTCAATTGAATGCTCTTAGGTCTTGTTGCAAGATGCATTTTTGTATTTCCTTATTAAGTCTATTGGCAACTGTTGACTTTTAGATCCTTATCCTGGAAGGCCAGTAGACATTTGCTGCTCATGTTCTTGTTCACTGAACTTCTGCCTAGGTCTTTCCCATGGGAACGGAGGTCACATCCCCACCGCCCCAGCTAGCAGCCTTTGTTGAGGCCATGCATCGGAATATGAGCCACGAAGTAGCTGAAACTCATCAGCCCAAAGTCTAATTCGAGGCAGTGCCGCCGCCTGGTTGTGATGAAATTCGATGGCATTTCGAAGGCCAAGGGCATGGACAGCACAATCAACCATGCCATAGAGTTTAGGCCAAGATGCCATATTTTGCGAGTATTTCTGCTTTGCACTGCCTTGCCAGGTGTGCGGTACCAAATCACTGCGGTCTGCACCTTGATGACCTTTAAGACGTGTAGCTGCGTAGCTGTCAGTTGGAGTTACTGCAAAGTGAGGGGCATGGCCTCATGGCATGACAGGCACTTTTGTTGTGTTCAAGGTGATGGAGAGCATTGTTCGTACAATGTTTCTGGATATTGCCTTCTCACATCACGTCATGATTCTTTAACAGCGGCATTGCCAGTGCTTTGACAAGCAACTTTCAAGAGATTGACTCCATGTGCAAATTTCACACGTAGTAACCTTGTACGGCTTCAAATCCAGGTGAATTGGAAGGACTACAGGAAATCAACCACGCAGCAGGAGACTCACTATTTGCCGAGCCTACTTGAGCACAGCTGAACATTGATGGATTTGGACAAGACCTCTTGAAACCTTGCAGGACACTTGGAGCTTTAGTCGAGACCACTCAGACCGAGGATGGCACAAAGGATTTGTCAAGGCGCAGTAAGTGGATTACATGCAAGTCTGACGGTAAAATTTGTTTGCTGAGATCTCAGTCACTGCAATCTGGTTTTTAAAGACATGATGTATGCCTGTATGCCTGTGTGAATTATTTGTTTATATAGAAGTTGCTTCGAAGTAAGCAACCAAACCAGATGTTGAAACTTCTCCTGCGACTTGGCCCGAAGCAGGCAACCCGTGGATTGCAGTATTTGTATTGGCTGTATGCTGTGATAATATGTGATGAGATTCCACTGCTTTGAATGCATGTCTTGAATGCATAGTCCGGGTTTGTTCTCGCGTCCCTTTCGTGAGGCCTCCCAGATGACCTCTGAGAGTGGTTGGCTCAATGATGAGGGCGAGCTTTGTTTGCGTGCAGTCATGGGCTAAGCAGGGCAGAGAGAGACAATCGCTGGGTTGCAGGGTTGCTGCAAAACCATTTGATAACTGAAGATTGAGGAAGCTGAGGAAACCAAGTGAGGGGTATGGTGTGATGAAGTGCAGAGACTGGGTAGACTAGATCATGGATGGTCATGGTCGAGTTTGCAGATCGACTCGGACCTGCATTTGCAATCCCACCACACGGCCGTTCAGCAGGCACAGCCCGTGACCTCCCTTTAATGTCGCTGGGGGCTGGTTTACTATTTGCAAACTGCTCACTGACTTGGCATGATTCACCAAGAAGTCTCCAGGTTCAGGTTTTTTAGATGTCTTAGATGGGATATGTTTGCATTCAACCATTGGTGTCCAGCTTGGGGCCCTTGTGATTGGCGGCTTTGACTTTCATCTGTAGGCAGTACAAGTGGGCTGCTTGTTTAAACAGAATCCAGAGATTGTAGCATAGTCATGTAGAATCGCTGGGCTGCTTGGAGACATGCGTACTGTCAAAGCCTTGTAGATGTTTGACATTCTGTCGCACCCACACTAAGTCTTGTTCCTGCCGGCGTGCAATGATGCAAGCATCCGGAAGGAGCCAGAATCCGTGGAGATCATGGTTGATTGAACAAACAAGTTGGAGACATCTTGTGACCGATGATGTAAAAAGAAGTTGCTCTCCTGTTTTGCTTGCTGGAAGACCGTACAACTCAATGGTTCTTTCGGGTAGCATTAGAAAGCCTTGGTCCGTGTGAGGGAAGGCAGCAGGTCTCATCACAAAAAGCGGTGCTTACATGTATGAGAGTAAACGATGGAATTTGGTTTTGAACTTTCTCACAGCTGCCGCTGCTACTGCTGGAGACGGATGGGCCATGCATCGTGGTACGGTTCTGGTATATGCTGGGGCCGGGCTAGCATGGGTTGTGGAAGTTGCTGCAAACTAAGATTTTGTTCGTGATGGGGTGGGGGGTGAGATTTGCGGCAAAGGGGAAGGTGCTGGGCATTTTGCTAGGAACTTGTCCATGGTGGATAATGATAATAGTGATTTTGAGAACCGATTGCACAGTTCTGACACAGCGGACATTTTGAGAATTTGAGCGCGAAGCTTTTGTGAAGAGAAAACGGGTCTACTCTTTTGTAGCTTGGTTTTGTGATGACTGCCTGCCTGTAGTTTTCATCAGGAGGCCAGTTGGCCATGTTGGTCTAAAGAATCACGGGGCGACCTGCTATATGTTGCTGCCTCAGCTCATCACCTGACCTCTTGCCCGCTTGCCCTCGCATTTCAACATTGGACTTTGCTGAGCGTCTGACAGGAATTGCTTGTTGCAGACTTTATTCTGCTTGGGTTTGCGTCTCAAAGCTGAAGTCACTGAAGGGTATTCATTTATCGTTGGCACATGGACTCTTGGAAGGCTGTGTTTTATCCTATTTTGCGACACCAAGGCCACTTTCGACACATTGCTTATTCCATTGAAGTGCCTGAGTCTGATCTGAGCCAGGCTGGCTTTGCAAAGTGGCTGATGCTGATCAGACATTTTTTTTGTTTTCATTTTTTTTCGCCCTTTTTCCGATATTGTCTCGTGATGCTTTCGAGTTTCCATAGTTTCTATTTCGTGGCAAGATTGTTTCTAGCGACGACGTCTCGGACTCCTTGGGCATCGATGAAGACCGACCGGCGGGACACAGAGAACTGTGGAGAGGGTTGGCAGCACCCGTGCTACTAGTAGCTTCTTGTTCCTAGTAGTAATGCCAGGAGCTGCTAGTAGCGTCCTTGCTCCTAGTCGCGATGCCAGGAGCTACTATATAGTAGCTTCTTGTTCATAGTTGCTTTAGCTTAGTTGCTGTTTGTGTTGAACCCCCCAAGGCTTTGATCAAAACCTTCCAAGGCTCTTCCATTGCTGGTCTCGCTGCAGAATCTTTTCTACAGGCTGCAAACCAGCGAGGCCTGAGAAACCAAGACCGCAAACCTCATATCAAAATTGCCAAAGCTAGACTGGGCTTATATATATATATATATGCTGTTTGTACTTGTGACTGACCAGGTGCCTGTCTCATGTCGAGAGCTAATGCGATCTTTTGGGTGGGATACTGCCGATGCCTTCATGCAGCATGACGCACAGGAGCTTGAAACTGCTTGGATTTTGTTTCAAGCATCGAATTGATGTAAGCTATCCTGCGTCCTAGGTAGTAGCTTAAGTAAGCCAGTAGCTACCTGTCTTCTACTAGCTACCTCTTCTTACCTCTCTCGGCCTACCCCCCCGGCCTAATTAAACAAAAGACTCATCCGCCATCCGCGCCAGACGGCTCCAAGGAGCTGAACAGACTCTTGTGTGATCGCCTCGAAGAGCAAATGAAGGGCACTCCAACTGATGGAGAAATCAAGAGGTGCACAGTGCTGGAGCGCAATGGCTTGAATGATACTTACAGTCCCGTTTACCAATAGAGATAGTGGACATATTCCGAATGGTTTACTGCTGTTGCTATGGCGACCTTTAGTCAGCCTAGTAGCAAGGGATAGTAGTATATTTGCCTGCTGAAGGATGCGATCATGAAAGCTATTCCAGCAGCCTTTGTGGAACAGCAGCTACCATGTAACGATGTAACGGCCGTCGCAGTTTATCAAGCTAGATATGATATATCAAGAACATATATATATATACTGTATATATATAAGATAGTCGAAAAGGATGAACAAGGGGGATCAACTTATCCTTGAGTCGGATATTGTTTGATTTTTTACAGCAATCCACTCCGACTTTTGGCTGAGGTAGGGTCTCCACACCTTCTACACCTTACCTTCCATCACCTCCCCTCAGCTTGTCTCAGGTCTAAAGAAATGCACATATCCCCAATCTAGGCACCAAAGCAATCAAGCCTGAGCAGATAGTGTATCCAAGCCTATTGGCGCAAGCCTACTAGTGGCTACGACTTAAGTTTACTTGTTAGCTTATTTGCTAGATACCTCTCCTAGCGGCCTACTCCTCCCGCCTGAAAAAGAGAAAAGCAAATAGATCGCTGCTTTAGATTTGTCGAAGACCAAGCTGCCCATCTCCGGGCCCCGGAGCAACCCTGCCAGTTCAAAGGTCGGTTGCGGGTCGGCGGTCGTCAAGCCCTGCCAAGTGCCAGGTCCTTTTTTAAAGATAGACTCGACCTCATCCACAGAAGACCCAAGCCAAAGCTTGGAATGTAAGGTTTCCTGAATAGCTTGTTGCAACACCTTGCTCTTCGAAGGCAAGTTCCAGTGCCACAGCCGCAGATCGTTTCTTGATCTAACTTTGCATCGATCGATTCGATCGATTGATCTGTCATTGTTCCTCTCACATCGAAAAATCTACAGATGCCCGCGACCAACCATGACCGTGTTTGGAGAATGTCAACAGACTCAGACCGTGCTGGTGCACCAACAGACTAAGCTGGGAGCGCCTCCTGCTCGCTTTGCTACTAGGAGCAAGGACGCTACTAGGGGCTCCTGGCATCGCTAACCCCTGGCATCGCTACCCCAAAGACATCCTAAAGAAATGAAGCCCTAAGCCAAGACCAAAGAAACCCTAAAGGAGTGAAGCCCGAAGCAAAACCAAAAGAGACCCTAAAGAAGTGAAGCCCTAGGAAGTCTCCTAAGCGCTCATTTGGAAGACTTGTGTGGCTCACTTTTGCAGGAAGTCTCGTGCGAAACGCTCGTTTTGGAGCATTGCACGACTCACTTTTGGAGGAAGTCTCGTCCGAAACGCTTGCTTTGGAGACTTGCACGGCTCACTTTCGGAGGAAGTCTCGTACGAAACGCTAGCTGACTGGTACTTTTCTCGCGGTAACCAGGTTAAGTGGGGCTTGTTTTATTGTGTAATCCTGTAAGGATGTGACGTATGTTGTTTTTCTTGGACTGTGGCAGATGGACCCCCAAAAACTGTTGTATTTTGCAGAGAAGGGTAGGGGGGGAGATGACAACACGAAATGAAAAAGAAAGGGAACTGGTGCAGGGGTGTCACTCTTGAGGCAGGAAGGAAATCGGAGATGCATAGCAGATTTCGTGGTAGGGAGGGCGCAGTGCCCCCCAAAGCACACACACAAAGTTTCACTAAATGTTGGTAGGAGCCACCAACAGAAGCCAGGACAAGCCACCCACCCAAGCCGACAAGACACGAGAAGCCACAAAAGCTACCGGAAACCGACACCATATTCAACAGAACATTTCAATGATAAAAACGTGAAACCAGTGAAACACATTTTTAGGTCCAATGCTCCTGCCTTCTCTTGGACAAGGCATTGAGTTTCCATCACAACTTTAGGCCTGACATCTGGAACCCTGTGGCCTGTGCTCTGGAACCAGGCCTTGATCGCAGCTCTTTTTGTGGAGCGATTCCCTGGTCACACAGCAGAGCCATTGCATTGCTTGTGGGGCCTAGCAGTCTAGCCGTACTTACTTTGTATTTGGGGTTTGCTAGGCGGTTATAAAAGTCCCATGTGAGTCTTCTTGTTTAAAGTGCTATTTGGGTCTATGCAAGTGCAATGTGTGGCCTCTGTTCAACTTGTTTTAGTCGGGGCAGAACGCACACCTCTGGCGTGGAAGCGTGCATTCACTTGGCCAGAAAGCCGTGGCGTTTTCAATGCAGTCCTTGAGTCCACTTCTGTTTTGGCTTTCCTGCCGGAGAGCGCCTTTTTGGACAGATGCCGAAGGTTTCACTTTTGGGGCCTCAGGTCATCCCCGCTGGAGTCCTTAAGGAATTTTGGCCAGATACCATGTGTCGGATTCATGAATATTGTCACTCCTTGGAGACCTTTCTGCAGGCTCTTCGAGGGTGAATTTGAGAATTACATCGAATGCGAAGTCCCAAGGGCTCCGAGTTTGTGTCAATGGCGCAGTTGTTTTTCGGAATCAAGGCATTGATGTTGATTATCGTTCACAACGCAACGAGACGCCCTGACCTGAACGTGGTGCGAAACGGCATCTTATCGGGATGAAAAGGAAAGAGCGTTTGCTTTGTCCAACAGTTGAATGGCTTGGACACTTTATCAAGTTACTGAGGTTTTATGACTTGCAGTTGAACGTTAAAGACGAGTCTGGCAAAGAGATCACTTCTTTAGAGGAATCCGATCATGTTTATATAATTCTATTTTGCTTAGGTGCCTTTAGCACCTAGTTTTGACACTTGGTTGAAACCAGTATCAAGAAACTGGAGGCGGATACGATCTCGCAGCTTGCTGATTTGCACCATGCATGCCATGCAACATGTTGTCTTCGAGGAGTCTCTGAAGGATTTTGTGCGAGAGGAGATTCTGGAGGAGAAGATAGGGGAACAACAGTTGAACCATTATGTATGATCCATTCTTTCAAATTTGGTACTGTAGATTCCTCCAAAAAGTGGTCAAACCCATCGGTTGTCAAAAGGTGAATCAAGAATCCTTAAATGCAAACTCCGGCATGGGTTATTTGGTCGGTGGTTGGTGCCAGATTGTGCACACCTGTCAAGGGTGACAATGCCTATGATGCAGAATCACATGGCAAGCAAAGAGCTCGGAAGGCTGGCAATCTCTCTTCAGTGCTTGCTTGCTACGCACCTTCGATTCTGACCGCATGTGTAGGGCATCCGGTTCAAGCGCTTTCCGCCAGTTCTGTACATCCAGCTGCGCTTTGCCTTGGACACGACAAAAGATGTGAAACAGCTGTAAATGGAAATTATTGTTCTCCATCACGTAGATATCAAGCACGCTGCCAAGGAAGCGTTTCATGTTCGACATAGAGAAGATGGATATGTGCCCCACCCGTCTGTGAGCAGTGGCTAGAGTCGAGTGAAGAATCGAAGAGACACTGACGGCTTGGTTCCCCATCAGGAACAAGCTGAATAGCAAGATGGAGTTTCCACAAATCTTGGACCTGGAGGCAGAAGTTGTCAGGAGGTAGAGCTATCATTCTTGACTTGGCGAGATTCCATCTCCCAGGTGGTGCCTTTTTCTTTGCAAGTCTTGAAAGCCTCTGAATTAGGCTATGTCATAGTGAAACCAGTCCGCTGCATTCAGTCTACAGCAATCCCTGGTCAGGATTTTGCCAAAGGCAGTGGCCAGTACATGCTGCACACTGTCAGGGCCCTGTTGCAGATAATTCCAGTCTTAGGAACGAAGCGAGCGGATGCTGAGGTCATCGTGCACAGTGGTGGTGTTAGCAGTGGTCACTACTACACCTTTGTCCGTTCGCTGGATAGCAACCTGTTTGCAACTCTTTGCAAGTCTCTGCGAGTTCTGATTTTATCGATGGCTGTGAATGTTTCTGCCCACGGCACTGGTCCACACATCGTGTTTTTCCTTGAGATACAGCTCTAGTGCTAGCCAGAATCATCGCATGTTGTGCGCTGTCCAATCAGAGCCCTTTGAACTAAGATGCTGAGCAGTAAGGTAGATGCCCAGAACACTTCCCATTGAATAGCCTACTTGAAATTCATACTTTCAATTTATACGGCTGTTTGGGAATGACAATGCTGCAGGATCATTCTGTTTTGAGTGGACTCATTGGACTCATCTGACATTCACCAGCAGTCCGGCAAAATGCCGGAAGCAGATGCTGGACACGCATATTGGCATATTTTATCTACTTTACTTGGACGAGATTGCTTTGTTGTGACTCCGCTTAAACTTGAGATAGCCGTTGTCTATAAATGCTGCACTTTGTTTTGACTGCCAGTTTGTGGAAGGAAGGCTTAAGAACTAAGAACTGAAAAGACACAAAAAAACAACGTTTGGACACCCTAAGGACCACAGCGGTGTGGTGGGCCTAAAATAGCCACGGGGCACAGGGTCTAAGTGAGACAGTAAAGCAAGCTGGCATGGTTGCCGGTCTCTGATGGATGATTTGTGACGATTTGCATATATATATACATTATTGCTATTATTATTATATATATATAATATATAATATATATATATACTATTACTATCATCATTATTATTATTATTGATTATGAATATTATTATTACATGTTTTTTAAACGGGGGTGGGGTGGGCCGTAGAGGTGAGGTAGTAGCTAGAGGTAGCTAGTAGTAGCAAACGGGAGTCGCTAGTAGCTATTTAAGTAGGACGCTACTACCGACAGGACTCAGGATAGCTCACGCTTCTTCAAAGAAGCTCCCCCCGCCTGAAGGCGGGGGGAGCTTCCTTGACGAAATGCTCGCACTAATGATTGGTTCCTAGATTTTTAGGGAAGCTTGACCATATTATATATATATGTACGAGGGACCTCCATGTATAATGTAACGTACTATTTTTTCTATTATATTATCATACTATATATAAAAGGAAACTTCAAGTTATATAAAACAAATTATATCAAACAAAAACCAATTATTTTGTTTTTCTATATTCAATTTTGAGACCTACTAAAAAATAAACATGAAACAACTACATATGCTTTTTTGTTTTGCGGTCTTACAAAAAAAAATGGAAACAAAGAAATCCTTCAGGTTTCAAGGTTTCCAGGTATTTAGACATTCAAAAAAACACAAAAAAACTAAACACAACTAAATATTTAGTTTTTTTTAGTTTTGTGGCCTTAAAAAAATACAATCTAAATATTTAGTTTAGTTTGTTTTGCTGCATTTAAAGAAACGGAAACACTAAAACCACCAAATATTTGGCTTTTTTTGTTTTGCGGCCTATTAAAAAAAAGAACTAAAAAAACTAAATATTCAGTTTTTTTAGTTTTGCGACCTTTAAAGAAAACAACTAAAAAAACTAAAAACACAAAATCCTTCAGGTTTCGAGGTTTCCAGGTATTTAGAAATTCTAAAAAAACTAAAAAAACTAAATTTAGTTTTGCGGCCTTAAAAAAAAAGAAAAACTAAAAAAACTAAATATTTAGTTTTTTTAGTTTTTTTTGAATTTCTAAATACCTGGAAACCTCGAAACCTGAAGGATTTAGGTTTTTTTAGTCTTTTTAGTTTTAGCGGCCAAACAAAAAAGAACCTAAACAAAACTAAATAATTAGTTTTTTTAGATTTTTAGTTCTTTTTTGAATTTCTAAATACCTGGAAACCTCGAAACCTGAAGGATTTATGTTTTTTAGTTTTTTAGTTTTGCGGCCTTAAAAAAGAAACAAACAAAACTAAAACAACATAAATCTTCAGTTTTTTTAGTTTTGCGGCCTTTAATAGAAAAACTAAAAAAACTAATAAAAGGACCGGATAACCCCACATGATAAGTTTTACACATTTCAACTGTATATGAACATGACTTGGGAGACAGAGTAGTGAGATGAAAAGTCAAGAAGGAAGTGTGAGGCGGTTATGCTGAGACGTGCAGTATAAGTGATGATGTGATGGACGAGGATGAGAAGGAGGGGAGGGAGAAGGTGTGTGTGTGTGTAACCCTTGGAGTCATAGGGCTTCTTTTGAAGTTTGCT